AGAAACAAAAGGGTGTAAGCCCCAAGCAATTCACATGGTTTATTCTTCTCAAAGCTCAGAGAGCTATGTCTTGCCTTCCATGGCTGGCAATGGGCTTCTTGAAAATGTTTGTTTCAGTCAAGAAACGCATTGCATTATCGGATATAGGCGAAGAAAACCCAAAATACAAAGGGAAGTTGTATCAATTTATAAGAGCTTTTCTTGCCATTTCAGTTGTAGCTTTGGTGATAGAAGTCATGGCCTATTTCAATAAATGGAATTTGAATATGACTAATCCTTGGGAGGTTCAGAGTCTCGTGCGATGGTCTTACATGGCTTGGCTTTCTTTTCGAGTAGATTATGCTGCTCCTTTCATTTTAATGCTTTCCAAATTCTGCATTGTGCTTTTCATGATTCAATCATTGGATCGGTTAGTCCTTTGTATTGGTTGCTTTTGGATTAAGTTCAAGAAGTTGAAGCCAGTGATTGAAGGAGAACCTTATGATATTGAGGATGGTTCAAGTTTTCCAATGGTTCTTGTTCAGATTCCTATGTGCAATGAAAAAGAGGTAACAAAATCAACACTCAGAACTGCTTTGTTCCTTAATAATCTTCTTTTTTTTGTTGTTTATTTGTTTATGTTAATCTCTTCTATAGCATCGGAAAAGTCAAAGAATCACTCCAAATGTATAAGCTATTCTTGCATTACAGAAAATAAAAAACTGGAATGTGTTGAGATTTTTTTCTTAAGGCATTGTAAGGAAAATGGGGTTCTTTGTGATTTTATTTTTCTTTATTAGGTCTAGCTAGTCGTGTTCAGTAGGGGATTGTGCCAGAATTCTGCTGGCACATATTGGTTAAATAAACACCAAATTGACAAGCCATATCATTTTGCAATGCGCAAGACCAGTTGATTAGGTGATTGTCGGTTTCTTTTTATATTCTTCTATCTGTTTTATGATCTGATGTCCCTAAAATTCATGGAATATAGGTATATGCGCAATCAATATCTGCTGCCTGTCAGCTGGATTGGCCAAAGGACCGGCTTTTAATTCAAGTCTTAGATGATTCAGATGATGAAATTGTACAGCTACTGATAAAAAATGAAGTTTACTCATGGAAAGAAAAAGGGGTGAACATTATATACAGACATCGGTTCATCAGAACTGGCTATAAAGCTGGCAATCTTAAATCTGCCATGGCCTGTGACTATGTCAAAGACTATGAATTCGTCGCAATATTTGATGCAGACTTCCAACCCAATCCTGACTTCCTCAACTGACAATTCCTCACTTTAAGGTAACGATCTTTATCCTGTTGAAAATCATGCCTCCTGATATTCATCAATGTCCAACACTAAGGGTGGTGGTGCTTTGTCTCTCAGGGGAACCCTGAATTAACCTAAAAAAAAAATTAAAAATAAAAAAAAAAAATAAAAAAAAATTCAGGGTTCCCCTGAGAGACAAAGCACCACCACCCTTAGTGTTGGACATTGATGAATATCAGGAGGCATGATTTTCACAGGATAAAGATCGTTACCTTAAAGTGAGGAATTGTCAGTTTGAGGAAGTCAGGATTGGGTTGGAAGTCTGCATCAATATTGCGACGAATTCATAGTCTTTGACATAGTCACAGGCCATGGCAGATTTAAGATTGCCAGCTTTATAGCCAGTTCTGATGAACCGATGTCTGTATATAATGTTCACCCCTTTTTCTTTCCATGAGTAAACTTCATTTTTTATCAGTAGCTGTACAATTTCATCATCTGAATCATCTAAGACTTGAATTAAAAGCCGGTCCTTTGGCCAATCCAGCTGACAGGCAGCAGATATTGATTGCGCATATACCTATATTCCATGAATTTTAGGGACATCAGATCATAAAACAGATAGAAGAATATAAAAGAAACCGACAATCACCTAATCAACTGGTCTTGCGCATTGCAAAATGATATGGCTTTGTCAATTTGGTGTTTATTTAACCAATATGTGCCAGCAGAATTCTGGCACAATCCCCTACTGAACACGACTAGCTAGACCTAATAAGAAAAATAAAATCACAAAGAACCCCATTTTCCTTACAATGCCTTAAGAAAAAAATCTCAACACATTCCAGTTTTTTATTTTCTGTAATGCAAGAATAGCTTATACATTTGGAGTGATTCTTTGACTTTTCCGATGCTATAGAAGAGATTAACATAAACAAATAAACAACAAAAAAAGAAGATTATTAAGGAACAAAGCAGTTCTGAGTGTTGATTTTGTTACCTCTTTTTCATTGCACATAGAATCTGAACAAGAACCATTGGAAAACTTGAACCATCCTCAATATCATAAGGTTCTCCTTCAATCACTGGCTTCAACTTCTTGAACTTAATCCAAAAGCAACCAATACAAAGGACTAACCGATCCAATGATTGAATCATGAAAAGCACAATGCAGAATTTGGAAAGCATTAAAATGAAAGGAGCAGCATAATCTACTCGAAAGAAAGCAAGCCATGTAAGACCATCGCACGAGACTCTGAACCTCCCAAGGATTAGTCATATTCAAATTCCATTTATTGAAATAGGCCATGACTTCTATCACCAAAGCTACAACTGAAATGGCAAGAAAAGCTCTTATAAATTGATACAACTTCCCTTTGTATTTTGGGTTTTCTTCGCCTATATCCGATAATGCAATGCGTTTCTTGACTGAAACAAACATTTTCAAGAAGCCCATTGCCAGCCATGGAGGCAAGACATAGCTCTCTGAGCTTTGAGAAGAATAAACCATGTGAATTGCTTGGGCTTACA